CACTCCATGATGTCATCGCCACCCGCCTGCAGGCCAGGTAACCTTTAGGGCACGACATTTATCAAACAGTAACTTTCAGTTTCATAACTACAAGAATTTTTAAAAAAAAATTAGTATTTTTAATCAGTTCTTGATCTCTTTAATAGATCTTTTTCTATCTTGAATATCTTATATTAAATTTTGAGTTGTCTATATTGAATATCTTTAGGAGGTCTTGCTCTGTTGCACCAGGCAGCGTGAGACCCCTCTCCCTCCAGCGTCCCCTTCAAAGGCCCCCATTCCAGTGCGCCCTGCCTTAGTGCCCTGCCTTCTTCCATGCGCCTCTGTATAATGTTGCCCTCTTTCTTTATTCCACCTTGGAAATATTTGACGTTTTCTGCTCAATTTGAATTACCCTGTTATGTGTCTGGTAGGTATATGGTGTCTAAACTTGTCTCGGAGTCCTCAAAGTTTGCTTTTCCAGCCGGTGTGTCTTTGGGCAGAGTAGCGTGGCCAGGCTGGCGCCGGTCTTGCTTTGAGGGGCGCCGTGGGTCTGGTGGTGTAGATGTACGTGTGGGTACGTAGGGCTGACAGGGCTGTATTTTAGAGTATATGTATTACGTAGAAGTTTCTGTGTTTGATGGTGGTTTTGCTGTGGTGACTACCTCTGGATTCCCTCTGGAGGAGGGAAGATTTCTCTTATGAAATTAGTTGGTATTACCTATTTTTGCAAGTATTCGAAGCCCAGTTTGGTATCTAACACACAAGTGCAGATAGGACAAGGGGTGAAGGTTTTAAACTAAAAGAGGGGAGATTCTGACTAGATGTGAGGAAGAAATATTCTACGATGAGGCTGGCACAGGTTGCCCAGAGAGGTGGTAGGTGCCCCATCCCTGGAAACATTCAGGGTCAGGTTGGACGGGGCTCTGAGCAACCTGATCTGGGTGGAGATGTCCCTGCTCCCTGCAGGGGGTTGGACTGGATGGGCTTTACAGGTCCCTTCCCACCAAAGCATTCTGTGATGGTAAGTGCTGACCTTCCCTCTTGCCATCCATAGACCCCCAGAGAGCAGGTCAGCCATGCCCTGGGGGCTGGTGCAGCAGGATCCCTTAACAATCTGCTTCCCAATTTGGGGCGAGAGGAGGCTTTTTAGTGACTGATAACATTTGAAATTCTCGCTTTTCTGGTTTGCACTTTATGCGTTACAGCCTAAACTGTGGTCATAGGCAGGATAGCTCTGCGGCTTCCCCACTCTGCTTCTTGTTGTGGCATCACTTGTGTGTGCAGGGGGTGGTGGGGGCCATCCTAAGTTCCTTCCCTCCTCCTCGGATGTCCTTTGAACCCCCCAGGTTGGCCCTGAGCTGCTTTCTTTCCATTCAGCCTTTGCTTTTAAATCCCCCGGTGCGTGCCCGCCCGGTGCAGTATTGGTAAGCAGATAAAGCAGACTTGCTCTCATAAGATGAAATGTTGAAAAGGAAAGGTATGCTGAGATGGGAATTAAATAATGGCCACGGGTCAAAGTAATTTTCCTTTTGATAATAGCTGTGTTATTCATGGATGAGTGTTCTCAGGGATTAGTTTCTCAGTGAAAATGAGTAAAATTACTCATGGTTTTCATGTGTGGTGTTAAAGACATAAATCTTTTCTTTTTTTAACACAAAAATTGGAGAAAATTTCACGTAAAAGTGTCATACATGAAACAAAGTTCACATTATCCTTAGCGTACTCGTAAGGATTTCCTGACCGTAAGCTACTCCACCAAGAAAACTCAAGCCTTGGAAGTTTAAGTATGCTGCAGTTGTTTTTATCCTTTTTCTGAGTTTACGCCCTCTCCTCCATAACACATTTAATTGGTTTCAAGTTGTAGGACTCCTGGTGGGTTTATTCACAGTGTAATCAAACACATTTTAAAACTTAAGTCTGAAAGAACTTAATTTCCCTTTTAAAATGGCCTTTTGTTGTTTTTTTTTTAATTTCTTGCAGATGGGAAGGTTGAAGTGACAAAAGAAGGCGTGAAGCTGTGCACCATGGGACCTGGCAAGGTCTTTGGGGAGTTGGCCATCCTCTACAACTGCACCCGAACGGCAACTGTGAAAAGTAAGATCACTTCTGAATTCTGATGTTGAATGACTTGGGATTTCGTGGGGAAGTAGGGGGGTTCTCATCTCTCCTTTGGAGTTGCAGCCTCTGCTGGATGTTCTTCTTTCTTAATTCATTAAACTCTTTATGGCATGGATTATAGCGTGGAATTTAGCCACTGTGAGCAGGGAGAAGATGGAAAAGAAGTGCTTCCCTGGATTCTTTCACTCAGGTTTATTGGCATAGGGAATCTCCTGCATTAACAGGGCGGTTGATCCTGCCTTACACACGGGAGCATGGCTCTTGCTTAGAAGAGCACAGCTGACCCTTGTAAGTGTAAGTCTTTGAAGGAAACCTGTAGGTAAAGCTTCTGTATTTTTTCAAGACGAGTCATTATTTTCCCCCTAAACTGACATAAAAAATTGGGGAAAAAACCCTGGATGGCACTGGTCTCCTGCTCTAAATCTTCGGTGCTGCTCCTGTAATCTGGTTTATTTTATGAATGTTCTGGACAAAAGCCTGGCTTCTATAATAAGTAGAGGGAAATCACATTGCTGTGTACAACATAAATATGTTTTTGTTTAAATTCAGATTAATAGTTGAGATTTTGGATACATGATACCACAGTCTTCCTTGATCTTGAGGATAAGAGTTTATAGTGACATCGTAAGCAGAGAGGTTTTATAGGAGATGATAAATAGTTCTGTGGTGTAAAGATGCTGTAGGGTAGAAGTTAGAGGGGTACGGATGGGATGGAATAATAGACAAGCAAATGGTACCAAACCAATGACACATGTGAGTCCCCATTCAGAAGAAGGCCTTTTAGAAATACGTAATTTTGCTTGAGAAAGAGAACAAATGGGAGAAATGACAAAACAGGAAAAGATAACTAGAATTTTTGTGACGAACATGCTGTTCTCCATAATCCTGAAGACCTTGACTGTCGTACTCATTTTCACCTGCACAAACCTGGCCTTTTTACAGGTACTGTTTATTGCAGGTAAATCCTTGGCTACATCAGTCAGTTCATCAGTGGCACAGTTTATGCTTTGGAGTAACCCAGGTGATGAGCAAATGCTGTGGAGTAATCCCAAATGACGTAGCAGATGTGCACATTGCTCAAGTCACGCCTAGCCCCACGGGGACAGCCCCAGCCCCAGAGACCTCCAGGCTGCTTCGGACAGTGTGTGGGGCTGCTCTTCTACGAGATGCTTTATCTCCTGCCCCTCAGCCCACCAGGGGGAAGGGGCACGAGCACAATGGGGAGGCGGGTGTAGATCCACCCTCTCCTCCCCACACCTTCCTGCCCCGTAGGTGCATTATCCGTGCAGCCGTAGAGCCTGTTTTTCTGTCCAATTAAAGGTTTGAGGGATTGATAATGGCGATGAATTTGGATAAGCTGCAGGCTCATGTGGTAATACAGTAATATGAAGTTGGAAAGAACAGGGGAAGAGGGGAGGTGGTCGAATCCTAGAAGAGGAAATGCATGGATGGTTCTTGTTTAGTTCCCCTTAGAAGTGCAGTGCTAAAAGGGCCCTGATCCAACGGTACTGTGAGGGCTACATCCCGTAATCCTGCATAGTCACGCTGTTCTCGTGTTGTGTCCGTTTCAACCTGTTCGTACAAGTGACTCCAGTAGGAAAAAATACCAGCAGCAGTTTTTACTGTCAGTTTTACTGTTACTTGCTTTTTCATGTACTAAGTCTCTTCTCTTGAGATGCTGCCAGGCTGCCACTTGGCACTTAGTTTTACTGAGTCCTCTTTTCCTGGTGAAACTGGGGGCAGTAGTAAGGTCAGGACCGTAACCGTCCTCAGAGGGATCTCTCTTCAAGAACGAGGTGTCTGCATTCGTCGTTATACTCTGCTCCTTTCCCACTGGCAGCGTAAAATTATGATAATTGCACACCTTCTTCCGCCGGCAGCTGTCAGGCATGTAATCGCATCTCCAACGCCAGCAAGTGACTTTTGGGTGTTTCCTCTCATGACTGCACAAGTAGCAGTTGTGGTTGTAATCGGCTTTAGATCCTTTCAGGTGCGGTGGCGCACAAGGTCACAGCTTGACTTCGGGGAACCGTTTCAGCTAGACCTAACCGAACAGAGGGCTTGGAGGTGTGCGGATCGATTTAGGGCGTATTATTGACTTCAGTTGTCACCGCTGCTGCTAACAACCAACCTCAAACATCTGTGTGTTCTTTTGCCTAAAGGATAAATAAATGCCTCAGATCTCCAGAAAGGTGAACGCTGGTGAATATTTCCATTAATGCTGATGGTAACTTTGATCATTACAAGGTTTGTTTCAGGAGAAATGAACAATTGATGACTGTAATGAGAATAGCACCCAGTCAATGCTGATACTGGAGGTGGTGAAGGGGGCATCATCCAACTTCCATTTAGAGAAACACTTTAAGCCAGGGCTTCCCAAATTTCAGCAGACAGATTTCCATTACCTCCCGAGTGTCAGAAGTGGTTTTTGATGTGCCTGCCAGTACTTCATTACAAGGACATTAAGGGTTTTTTTGGTTAGTGGTTTTTTTTGGTGTTAAAATGAAGTTGCAGCAGAGAGTGACTGAAGGCTGCGTTCCGGTGGGGCGAAGCTCAGCAGTGCCCCTGGGCTGCAATGACGTGTCAGCTGTGGTGACATCTCTTGCTGCAACTCGTTTGTGTGTGCGCTCTTGCTTTGGCTTTGTAAGGAATGAAGTTTTTGGTGTCATTACTTGCTGCATTAGTCTACACGGGCTCTTCAGCTGGTGCTCGCTCTGTAGGAGACTGCAGACTTAAAGGGATAAATCACTGTAGGAAGGACCTTGTCTTTTAAAAATAATTAGAAGACTTTAAAATTTAATTATTCTGATCTGACTCCTTCTGGTTCATTATGACCTTTTTAATAAGACAATCCAGGTCTTTTAAAAGCTTGCCCCAAGAGAATTATTGTAATATTTTTTCAATATTATTACTACAGTCTTAAGTAAAAATGGGATGGGGTCTAACCAGGGCCTGGGAAGGAAGAGTGACCAAACCCTTTGGTCTTCAGAAGCGCTGAGGAAGGCAGGGCCACATCTCATGACATGTGGCCTCATCTTTAAGGTAACTGCTTACAATTTTTTGCCATCAGATTTCGTTCTGGTTATTCTGAAGCTTCTGCTTTTTGCTTCCAGATATTACAGAAACACTAATGGTTGTTTTTTCTGGTGGAGACTGTTCAGTCTTGAGACTCCAAGTATGACACTGCCATGGCTTTCTAAAGCGCTGGTCTTCACAGATCGGCTTCCCTTACGTACACAGCTAAATCCAAATCAGCAGCTAATTTTTTCCTCTATCAGTATTCATTATCCAGAGTTTTCAAGTCCCTAAATGCCAAACTTGATGCTACTTGCAATTTAAAGCAGAATCACAGACTTTCCTCCCTGATTCCAACACATAATTAAATTCAGTGCATTAGATAAGGAAAAGAAAACTCCACTCATTATGGATAAATTATCGCACAGCTAAAATGATGCCTCGAGTCCCCTGGGAGAGCGGTGTTCTCCAAATACCCCTGTTTAGCCACGTATCTCAGATTGCCATTGCCGCCTCTTCGAGGGAGCTGAGTGTCTTAAAATAGTAAAGGTGCTAAGCTGTGCTTTCAGGTCGCTCAGAAAGAACGTTGGCTCGACGTGTGAGCCAAATATTAAAAATACGCTGGGTTTTGTTGCTGTTTTTGTTTAGCTCTGCTCTGGCTGACTACTTTCTCCCCGTAACTCGCTGCCGCCTGTGTAAGCTGGTACCAGGCTGGGTGCCGGCACGTCTGCAGTCTCTGCCTTGGTCACCTCCTAGCACCAAGGCGAACATGGGTGCGTGTGCCCCGCTGCGGCGGGGAGCCTGCTGCCCTCCTCTTCCCCGCCGCGGGGGTGGCATCAGTGCGCGCGCCCAGTGATGGGCGAGAGACGGGCAGACGCACCTTGGCTCTACCCGAGCCGCCCAGCTCAGTGTTAGACTCCGTTTATTAGGAATCTTTCCCGTACACCAGGAAAGGATTTTGTCTTTCTTATTGCCAGGCAAACAGGATTTTCCTAGTGCAAGAGTCTGAAAGAAGCAAAACTGTATTAAATTCAAATGTGGTTTTGTTCGTTAGTAGCATGGGTGGTAGAAGAAACTATGAGAAGTCAGAAAAAAAAACCCAAAAAATCCCCCCAAACCCCAGTTGAATTCAGGTTTTATATTGAACTTTGTAATTCTTCATTTGATAACACAGAAGATTGTAGTAAGTGGAAATGTATCTGCTGTTAATATTGGGCAGTCGTTCTCATTCCTCTTCAAGAATAATCTGATGGGCAGAGTTAAGCAGTGTTTTTGCAGGCGGTTTTGGGGAGCACTGATTTTGTGAAAGGAGTGGATTCTTCATGCATTAAAGATATTCTATTTATTTGAGCGGTGTCCTTAGCATCTGAAATTAGATTCTCTTGGCGGCAAAATTCGAATAAAAACTTCCTGCAGAAAGGCCTTGATGCGTAGCTGCCGGTTTCAGTGGAGTTGTACTCAACACCAATCCATGCTTTTAGGAAAACAATATTAGCAAAAAAAAGAAGGCACAAGCTGAAGTTGTTAAACTGTAGATTATGTAGATCTGTGTTCTGGTGAGACTAAGGGTGTCTCCCAAAGCCAAACAAGACTTTCTCAAGCTTCTCTGCTTACCAGCAGTGCTAATTGTACGGAACTCAGCGCCACGCAGCCTGATCAAGGCAGTATTTTATCAATTTGTTGCCAAGCTTGGTTGAGTTTGAATTTTCAACCATCTTCTTTTTAATGGAGTCATATGGAAATACTTCCCGAGCCCCAGAAATTACCCTAACTTCACAAGGAGCCTGGTAACGTGGATAATTTGCAAGATAAAATAAGGCAACAGTCAGCTGCCAATTAAAACTGGAGAGACTCATTAAAAGCTTTTGAGAAGGAGGTTGCATTCATATGTTCTCTTCTGACAATTATGGGAACTCATGTAAAGTTTGCTCAGATCTTCTGAAAAGAATCGCATATGTGGG